AACAACAAGACAACTTTCAGTGACAGACAGTCGCACAAATACCTTATCCAAATTGTTGATGAACATACAAACATTATGTGATGAAAACAAAAATACAAATAGTACTAACATCACAAATTCTAATTCAAGTTTATCATATGTCAACTTCAAGACCAATGAAGAACTAATTCAATCTTAGATCAAATCGAAGTTACATGATAAACAAAAAAAAATATCCATGGATTCACACAAAAGAATTCTATTATATTTAGCCAGAGAAGTGAATGGTGAATTACTGCACAAGGTGATATATGTACTTGAAATGTTATACTCATGATGATACGCGGGCTATTAGAGTATTTCCAATATACACAATCTCCACGACTCTTTTATGGCAGAACATTTGCTAGTTACCCTTCGACAAGCAAAGTATAAGAAGAATTACAAGCGTTCTTGTTTTTGACACGAGAATTGTTGAATCAGTGTGGCTTGTAGAATAGAATAAGTGGACAGCTTATATAATAAAACATGATAAAGAATTCCTATGAAAACTATGACGCACTCGACTTCCTTAAATAACTTTGTAAAATTTCTACTATCACTCAAATATTAAGGTTTGAATTTACAAAAATAAACAAACTCATTACATGAAAAGTAATATATTTTCAAAGGAAAAAAAATCCAGCACACAACGGGAGCTAGCAAACAGGAGAGAACAGACTGTTGCAATCTAAGAGATGATACCGCAAAATGCAGAAGATATGAACATGTGGACTACAGGACTTCCTGTAAAACTCTTCTACCACAAAATATATGTGGACCAAAGGACTAAAGAACTTCCTGTAAAGACCTATTAGAACATGTGGACTACAGACCTATAAGAATATAATGTACGAATACAAGTATACAAAGATAAGTGAAAAATCGAGGGCATATGTTGTTGAATTTTATTTGCCCTGATTTCTTACCATAAATAGATTTTCCTTTTAGGAAAACGTTTTGATTGACTAATCCTTTTTCTAGTAGGAAAGGTTTAGGACTCTATAAATAGAGATATGTTCCTTCTAACTTAATTAGCATTCACAATGTAGTCTTAATGACTTTGAGATTTTTGGTTAGGGGGAGAATTTATGGGTCACAAGCTTGATATGTTATCACTTGTGTGAACCTCTCATGTATTCTGAGTGAATTGTTGAGGTTGTTTCTCTTTGTATTTTGTATTCTCATATTTATAGTGGACTGCTCATCTCCTTTGTGGATGTAGGTCGATTGATCGAACCACGTTAAATTGTGTCTTTTGATATATTTTTCGTTTGTCTTCTTACTCGTGATCTTTCGAGGTTTGTTTTGCTAGCTTCCGCGTTTACACCAGCTTATTTTCGGTCCTAACATATGTAGCATCTAAACAAAGAGAAACTATATACACCTTATGCATAAACAAGGATTGACATAGAAGACAAATTTTACAAAGAAACAAGGCACCTGTTGAGTAACACGATTGAGACAGAATTTGTAGACACAAAATGTCTTGAAGAGTCTATAGAATGGCCAAAATTATAACAAAATAAACCTAATTCTACCACAAAATACATGTTCAAATTTAATATTTTAAATTTTTCCTCCAAGACTAATACAACAATATTAACCTAATTTTACCTCCATGCATCTATACAAATGCAAAGAAAACAAACTTACATACATACAAGCAATAATTTGTACAGTTTGTGAAGATTCAGATGAGAAAATTCAAAATTATGAGGTCGGTTCATTATTCAAAGAGGTGAGAAGTGGAAAACATTACCTTACAACACCTATCTCATTTTGAATCTCGTGAGTAGCTGAAGTTTATAGAGCTGTGAGAAGACGGGGGAGAAGTGTGATGGAGACGAAGGAGAAGTACCGTTGTAGATGTCGGAGAAGTACTCTATATCGGCAGTGAGAGATGTATGACAGTAAGAGATAATTTGGAAGTTTCATAAAGTTGTGTTTATTTGTGTTTTGCAATTAAAGTAAAAATAACTTTTTATTAAATTACCTATTTCCTAAAGTTGTAAGTTATTTTGTATTTCATAAATAAAAAATATATATCTTATATTATGGAATAAAAAATGTATTTTGAAATAGAAGGTGTTTAAACTCCCGATATTTACTTAAATTTTTCTCTTGGGGTTTTAAATTCCACTATTTATTTTTATTTTCCGTCAGCTATCAAACCCCCGTTATTAAATAAAATATGTGGGAGTTGTAGCTAGCCTCCGCTTTAAAAACCCCACGATTTAGGTGTTTCTTTTAAGTGCGTTATTAATGGTGATTTTGAAGATTTCTAAGTTAAAAAGATTTAGATATTGAGATCCTTTTATCCCTTTCCTTATTCAATTAGTTATGTAAGGTTGAAGGTAGATCTATAATTCTCGAAACAATGTCAAACCAATCAAAATTGTTAATTGCCTCGATACATGAACACATATAAATAGGAAAACTATTTTTTCTAATTAGTCCAAACAAACGCACATTGAGAAATTCAATAGTTTGCTAATGGAGAAGACTATTTTAATAATCAATAATATCTGATATTTATTTACATTTGAAAATATCCAATTAATAACTGTTTAACTCAAAAATAAAAATAGTATTCGTATTTTGCACCCCAAATATGACGTGACATATCACAAATCATATGTTATTCATGGATGGAGTTATTAATTTAGTGAATGATATGCAAAATAAAATATATATTTATAATAATCAATATATAAATGTTCTTGGTCTTGGACAATCTATTTAAATACACAAATTTGTTTTTTTAAAACAAAAAATATTGTGCCACAATATTCTTGAATGAAGAAAATGTGTTTGAATTGATAAAATATAATTACACCCCTTTCATTGAAAATTAGCTGACATCGAATTTCTTTGAACTTAGGAGATTTGAATCGAAATTGTTAATTGCTTAACATATTTTATTTTATCTAAAATTAATACAGCAACACACGTTAAGAAATTTAATAATTCGATGAAGGATTATTTTGGTTATAAGCAATATCTTGATGATATTTTTTTCTTAATACACATTAAGAAATTGTCAAAACGTGCATCATTAATCTAAGGGGACATGGGGTTGTAGGGATTCCTCAACCGATCCAATGAGTTGTACATACTTGTTTTTAAAGTTGCACATGATTTGTACTAATTTGTTAATTATGAGCAATATTTTGATGATATTTAATTTCACTTAAAATACATCCAGCTAATCATTGATCAACTCAAATATGATGTAACATGCCACAACGTATATGTCAATCACTTGAGGAGTTGGAATTTGTATAATTAATTTACATTCATAATAATTAATAATTAATATTTAATATTTAATAGAGAATTTATAACTTACACTAGTTTAAGAGTTAGTTAAATATATTTTAATTTACAATATTACTTATGTTATCAGATTTTTGTATTTTCAGATACGTCCAACATTATGTAGCTCGAATATATTGGGTCAAATTTTAGTGTTTTTTTTTTAAATATGGAGATAAGTGTCGAAAACACATTTAAACTATTCACTTTTTTGAGTTTCATACCTAAACTATTGAAAGTGTGAGTTTCATTCCTACACTATCAATTTGTAGTTTGAGATCACACCTCAGTGGTGTGTGTAGTGCACTCTCTCTTTTTTATGAGAAAACATTGACACATGGCTTTCCACATAGATAAAATATTTTTATATATAAAAATTAAATAATAAAAAATTAATATTAATTAAAAATTAAACATTATTATTCATATAAAAAAATTAAATTATTTTTCTTATCTTACTCCACCACCTCCTCAATGTACCCCACTCCCCGGCGACAACGCCATCCTTTTTCTAAAAAAAATAATAAATCATTTATAAAATATTTGTAAGAATTTCATATTTATCCTCCCTCCTCCCCCTCCCCCTCCCCCCCCCCCCCCATTAGAAATTGATTTTATTTTATTTTAAAAAAATCTATCCTATTTTATTTAATTTTTCGCTCCTAATTTTTATGTTTTACGTTTTTCTTATTTTGTGTTAGACATGCACGTACATATAGTTTTAAAAAAAATTCTATCAGTGTACCGAATATAACATAAACAACTAAAAAATATAAAAAGTCTTGTGGCGGCAAGTAAAAAATATTTTTGATATGTATATCTAAACTCTGGGAAAAAAATTGAAAGCAGAGGGTTGAGTGGGATGGGTAGAATTATATTTTTATGAAAATAAAATAATATCTAAATTAGTATTTCATGAGGGGGAGGAGATGAAGTAAAAAAATGAAATACTTCTATAAAAGAAATTTAAGCAAAATCAAAGTCTTTAAAAAATGGTGTGGGGTAAGGAAAAAAATTTACATTTTATTTTGTAAAGAAAATATTATTTTTTCATAATAGTTTTTTAATTTTTAATTTTAGCTAATACTAATAATTTATTTATTTTTTGTCAAGGTTGGATATTTTGTCCATGTGGAGTGTGATGTAGAAATTCTTTAAAATAAAAGACAGAGAGTATTACACATGCCATGATGAGAGTGGTATAAATAAGACGTTTATTTCTCAAACTAAAAAGTGATAGTTTAGATATGGAACTCAAACTTTCAATAGTTTAGGCGTGAAACTAAAAAAAAAGTATAGTTTAGGTGTGTTTTTGACACTTATCTCTTAAATGTATTGTATTCAAAAGGATTTGCACACTACAACAAAAATGAACATTAACGACATTTAATTCTTAATTGCGCTAAATATGATTTGATCATTTGTTGCATTCACGCAAAGTTTAATTAGTTGACATTTGAGATCATTCACTTATCAAGGATTCTATAGCTGTTTTTTTTTTCAATTATTATAATTAAGCTGGAGTTTAATTAATAGATCTCATTAAGTTTAATACTATTAGAATGATTTCTTTCACATTAGAGAGAGAATGAGGGAAAATATATTTTTATTAATAATTGTACACGTTTAACAATATATAAAGTTCCTTTTCCATACACAAATTTGAGCAACTAACTTATTATTTCACATCTTCCATACTATCAAAAATCAAATTTGAGAATTCTATTTTGGTTAATCTGGTAAGTGAAATTAATCACCCGATTATTTGTTATCGCGAATTTTAACCTTTTAATTAGAGTTATTACTTACTTTTACGTTTTCTCTAGTATTGATATGGCAGTAATATCTATTCCTAGTAGCACCACAATGTTTCCAATGCCTCAACAAGTATTGAGACAAAATAAAGAGGTAATTACAACGTTACTAAAACAACTTATTAATGTCAAAAATATTCTTCGATATTATCGATCTTCGATCCGATATATGTAGCTTAATATATATTTTTGGTTGTCATTAGGTTGTTATGGCTGAGGAAATGGGTTGCGCTAGAATGCTCACCTTGAATCGGCCTGATAATTTAAATTATATATCAGCCAAAGTGGTATATATTTAATAATTTATACTTTATACTATATATGTATGGTTATAAAATGGCTATTGCAATGTTCACCTTAATTATAAAATTTCTTTTATATAATTAGGCATTAGCACTCGGGCAGAACTTTGAGAAATATGAGAATGATGATAATGCTGATTTTGTAATCATCAAGGTAAGGACTTATTAAGAAGTATCTATTTTGCTTTTTTTTTTCTTTTTCTTTTATAACGCATAAACGTGTCCTTTTTACTTGGTATTGGCTGACATCTATACCTTGGAATGTGCACAAACAGACACACATACGACGTCATGTAATATGCAAATTATCATGTAGGATCGACGTGCATGGGTGTCTATTTGTTTAATTGTTGGAAGGCAATAACTGTCTGTTATAAGAACAAGTTAAAAGACATTTATATGTATTATATCTTTTGATTTTGCCAATTTAATTCTCATTAATTTGCACATATATAGGGGGCTGGTCGTACTTTTTCTGGTGGTGGAGACTTACATATGTTCTATGATGGACGAAACACAAGTAACTATTTTTTTTCATTTGTTACTATATATATGTTAGAACTATACTATTGAAATTATTAATTAATTACTACATGTTCAATTCATTTAAACTAATGAGTATGTTAATTGTTTGAATTAGGGGATTCTTGCATTGAAGGTACTTATAGAATGTATTGGCTTTGCTACCACATTCATACTTACAAGAAACCACATATTGCTCTTGTTCATGGAATGTCAGTGGGTGGGGGTGCATCCTTGATGACTCCAATGAAATTCTCCGTCGTTACTGAGAAAGCGGTCAGTACATATATCGTATATTTATCTTATAAGTGATGATTTGATTGTACGAATTCAATCGATATTTAATATAAAGTTGTCTAACCTTTTTGTTGATGTAACTTTACAGTTTAGTTCTACTCCTGAAATAAATATAGGGTTCCATCCAGACTGTGGCTTTTCATATATGCTTCCGCGTCTTCCAGGCCGACTAGGTAATTATAAGCGCTGGACTTGACTCCTACCTTGTATATTAATACCGAATAATAATATATATGTAAAAGAGAAAGTACCTCTCTAAAAATATGTTAATTAATTAATTACATGTATGTATGTATGTAGGGGAATACTTGGGCTTAACAGGAGAAAAACTAAGGGGTAAAGAAGTGGTTGCTGCTGGACTAGCCACTCATTATGTTCCTTCACAGGTTAGTCTTAGCTTTTCCTTTTCTTCAGAAATTCACCATACACTACAAAAAATACAGAAATATTTATATTTAGCGGTAATAATATAATATGAATATATTTATAAGCAACACTTTATATGGCTCATGAATTACCGTAAATATTATATTGCCATTAAAAAGATTTACTGTCTTTAATTATCTCTTTTGCTCATATTTTTTTTTCAAATGCCAGAAATTATTTCAGTTGGAGAAGCGTTTGGTGAGCCTAAAAAATGGTGATGAGGATACAATTAGATCAGTCATCAATAAATTTTCCTCAAATATTCAAATTGACGAAAGAAGTATCTTGAACAAGTAATGTATCATATAATTAAATTATTATTTTGAAATTTTTCTTTAAAATAAAATATTGAGAGTAACATTTTTATTTTTCCAATTTATGTGTAGGTTGTCCATAATCAATGAGTGTTTCTCTAAGGATTCTGTGGAGGAAATTATTGAGTCATTTGTAAGAATTCATTTTTCTAATTACATGATATTTTAAAATTTTTGTACAACATTGCATGCTAAGTGAAAAAATATTCAATTTTTTTTAATGTATTTTGTGCACTAACTTTACAGGAAGCTGAGGCAAGCAAAAAAGGAAATGATTGGATTATGCCAGTACTTAAAAGACTAAAGAAAGCATCTCCAACATCATTAAAAATAACATTGAGATCGGTAATAAATCTTTTATTATGCTTATTGACTAGAAAAATAACTTTATCAAGCTCTCAAAACTTTATAAGCATACAAAAATAACCTTACCTTTATTCCTATGTTTTTTTAGATACGAGAAGGAAGAACACAAACTATATCTGAATGTTTGAGGAGAGAATTTAGAATTTCAATGAACATACAACGAACCATAATATCTGGTGACTTTTATGAGGTAATTAGTTTACAAATTCGTTTAAGTAAACTCAATCTTATCATGTACATCATATGTAGAAGCACACTTAATTTGCGATTACTAATTTAAAGTTCATGAAATATTTTTCACATATGAAGGGCATAAGGGCTCAGGTAATTGACAAGGATAAGTCTCCAAAGGTATGCACCTTTTTTTCTTAGTATATAAGTAATACTTAGTATTTATCAATATTGAATCATGTGCTTTATTATTAAAATATTTCTCTTTCATTTTTATATAGTGGAACCCTTCAACTCTTGACAAAGTGCTTGATGATCAACTTGACCTAATCTTCAAGCCATTTGAAGATCATGACTTGGAACTTCAAATTCCTGTTGATGAAGAAGAATTATACAGGTTTGAATATTGGAGTGATCATATATCAGTTGCATTTTATCCAACAATAGATTTTGCAATATATATATTATTATTATTTGATAGCCATTAATCTTGCATATATTTGATCTAATAATTAACAGGTGGAGAGGAAAATATGAAAAATTCCAGCTATTCTCATCTCAACCAAGTGAACGTCAAAAGGCACTCCGATCAGTGTCGTCTCGTGAAAGTGTCTTTGTATAACTTGTTTTTTGTTATTAGTAACATACAACAAAGTATATAGTTATTTGTTCCAAAACATATATGCAAGTATACATGATCTCCAAATAATATAATGATTTGTAGTCAGATATTGATCTCATGCCAACTTGATTTTACAGTTTATCAAATTCCAAAACAACATTCATGCAATTACTACAAAACAAGGGTATTAGTCTCTCATATTCATAGCAAAATTCAAAAGATAGTTATATGCTACAAAGGTCTAACAAATTATTTGAGTGGGTTTTTAATTGATTCAAGTGGGTCTTTTAATTATGGATAGAATTAATTACATAAATATTGAATATGTATTTAAGATTGACACATGTGTGCGCTGTGAATACAAATGGTATATACACCCCAAAATGTGGACAGTACCGACATCCACGTCCTAAAAATATAGCATACACTATTATTGAGATAACAGACACGATGATAACGACATATAGAACGTTATGTGTGGATCCATAATACATGAAACAACGTCAAGTGTCATGACATAGGATCACAGTATCCACCAAGTGTATTAGATACCAGATATCCTGAAATTATGTCTATAAAGATGCATATCTAAAAAATCATGTTATCTTAAAATCTTAATGATAAAATCAAGAAGACATAAAATAAATGAAGTAAATCTTTTATGTGAGAGCGTGCCCGACATACATCGTGTGAGCTCACGATGCATCAACTTACAATCCCAATGGGAGAGGGTTTTCATATACCTTGTCAATATATAGATTTTGTCTATCTAATGTGATCCACTAATCTGAGCCTCTAATGGCTAAATGGTCAATTACCAAAGCGGCGAAACATAATTCTACGATGGCCCATAGTTTTGAAATTTTGACCTATCTAAAACCCTCATTCACTTGATGCTAAATACTACTCCAAAAACATACTATTTACGTAGTTCATAACACGTCTATTAACTAATCTAGTAGCTCATAATGAATCTTGCTCTAAAATATTTTTCTAAAACATATATGACTTTGTGACTATGCTCAAATCTGTGAGACGGGCCTCAAATCTTTCTTTCTAAAATCATATGTTGAAATCCCTTTTTGAAACATATCTTTCGAAACATGAGAAAAAAATGTAAAACTTGAGGATTTTCAAAAAGAGCTTTCATAATAATTTAAGGACTCTAAAATCATGCTTTAATATATAAGCTTCAAGAATCATGGAAAAAATCATGTCAAGAACTAATAAGAATGACAATGAAAAAAATCTTGCTCAACATAAAAAAAAAAAAAAAAACATAACAGTCAAAATCTATAATCATGAATAAGTTCAAGAAATCATGCAATTGAATAATAAAAAGTGAATCTGAAAGTGGACTTATAAATCCTAACCATAATATTGAATTCTTGAAAATTTAGGAAATTTATACATAAAGATGAAAGGAATTTTTCATTAGAGTCGTAAATACGTTAATCGATCTGATTACAAAAGTGTGATCTTGGAAGAAAGAGAGTGACAAAACTTTTCTTGAACCTTGGAGATGAGTTCTTGAGGAGCTTTCTTTAAAATCTATGAATTTCATGAGTAGGAGATATTGATTTGTGTTAAGAAGAAGAAATTACAAGGTTCTATGGTCAAATCTTCCCTTGGATGATGGATGGGCCTTGGAGGAAGTTAGTTTTTTGAAAACTTCTCTTTTTAGGGTAGATTATGAACTAAGGGAGTGAATATGTCTTTGATTGTTACTAAAAGACCCAGAGGCCCTCAACTATGAAAAAGGTAGTAGTTTTTGCCTCGGTTCGGGCGCTAGGGCTTAGAAAATTCCTTGTGCATGCGGCAAGACAGTGTCTAGTAAAGTGGGCATAACTTTTTAACCCTAAATCCTGGATAATTGATGCAAACTTAGTGGCATTGGAAACAAAGTCATATAGACCTTTAGTTTAATAGTCCACGAGTCACCTAATTCATGATATGCTAAGAGATTTGTTTGTTTAAAGTTGACCCTTGCATGAAATAATATGAAAACTTAGGTGATAGGAAGGTTTTAAAGCTTGCTTGGTGTTTTAGGTTCCTTATGACCCTAAATCACTTTCGGTTGCTACAATCTGTAAAGGATCTTAAAACACGTGAGAAAGAAGGACATATATCACGCAGTTCATACTTATATATTCACAATGAACTATTCACATTCTAAGATTAGAGTTGTAAGATCTTAATTTCATCAAGCCAATCAAAACAGTTATTTAATAGCCTCAACATACATTATTCTATTCAAAAAATAGTTTCATATATGGACTTTTAAGAGGAAAGCTATTTTTCCTAATTAGTCTAGCAACACGCCTTGAGAAATTTAATAGTGTAATGGAGGACTAGTGTATAATCAATAGTATTTTGATGATATTTATTTACACTTAAAAACATATTCATTGCTTAACTAAAAAAGAAATAGAATTTATATATTTTGCAGACCAAATATGATGTGAGTTATTATCACAATTATATGTCACTCGCGGTTCGAGTTATTAATTAAATGAATGATGTGCAAAACAAAAATACATTTATGATAATTAAAAGTTAATCTTTTACCTCTTATAATTTTTTAGGAAAGAGTGTCCACCAGACCATTAAAGGTGGCTCGGTGTTAGAACCCTGATCTAAGTCACTCAATTAAATGACAGCATGAACAATGTATTAAGCATGTTAACATTGTCACTTGTATAAGCCAAGGAAACAAACATACAAGGCTTAGTTGACGACGGACTATTGACGAAGCTAAGGTGTGCAAAGTGGCACCATGGCCTGATTTTGAAGCAACAAGTGAGGACCAAGAACTTGAAGGCAAAGCAGCTTGGTGAGGACTTGACCAGATGAAAGCTTAACAATGTTATATGGACATAGTATTGATATTCAAAGAAAAAACAAAGGCAAACGACCAGCAAGGCTAAGGTAACAATGAAAGGATATTGATTCCAGCGTGTGATGAAGCAGTGACATAGATTTATGACTGTGGCGTCGAAGCATTGAGTGGTAGCAGTTCAAGGCTGAAAAGTATAAGTATGGAAGTGCTAAACATGGGAGCAGCTTGTCCAAAAGGCAAGCAAAGTCAAAGCTGACCGACGGTTACAAAAAGTGCAGCATTATCTCATTTCATATGGAACTTGTTTTTGGCGCCTTGTTTGAATTATTTCGAATATATCAAGTAGTTATGGGGGTGTCAAATACATAGGATAAGATTAGGCTAAATCCAACAAGTGTTTCATTCTTATTACAGCACTTTCGGTAGTTTGTTGCACATAGTATTATAAATGTGCAGGCTGCCTTATGGTGTAATTATGGTTTGATTGTTCTATGTATTAGGAAATACAAAGTAGAGTGTAAAATCTAAGTTAAGGTCTAGGGTAATCTTATACTGCCAAGGTTGGTATGATATGGGAGTGTTCTTGTATTCACTTTATTAATACAAGTTGAAAATTAAGTTTTCTATAACGTTGGTTGCCTTTGTCTCAGTTTATATTTTGGTGTCTTAATCATATTGTTGTCTACTGTTTTATGTTGTTTAAAATGTCCAAGATTTAGTCTCACAAACGTTGCTGCCTATTTTTCAATCAAACACCAAAATAGTCCTAAATTTGGCTAAGTGTTGAAAGGCTGAAATCGACAAAGTTGTTGGCTGCCAAAGTGGGTTAAATCAATGAACTATTAATGTTCTTAGATCAGACTCTTACACTTGGCCATGACGCCCTTGAACACTGGTACCCCACATTAATTATATGTCACTTGGCTTTAATTTCTTAAAATGAGGAAAATTGATTTTTTAATGAAAAAGAAATTATAAGTGATATTCCATCTCTTGATCATTCCACTCCCCACCCAATCCCTTTTCTATAGTGTTTTACTAGATAATACATAAATGTTCTTGGACAAACTATTTAAATAGACAGGTTTGTTTCTAAAACAAAAAAAATGTGTCACGCTATTCTTGAAAGAATAAAAACTGTTGATTTGGTAAATAGTAGATTAAATTCCTTTCATTGGAAATTAGCTGAGATTTCTGCAAACTTAAGGAGATTTGAATGGAAATTGTTAATTGCCACAACATACCTTATTTTATCTAAAATTAGTGCAGCAACACAAGTTACTAGTGGATATTTAATAGTTTGATGAAGGACTATTTAAATTATCAGCAATATTTTGACGATATTTTTTTACGTTATTAGTATATCTATTTTTCAAATTTTATATTTCTATAGTGGCTTGTACACGTGACAATCAAGTTTTGGGGTATTTTTTTAGAGTGCATAAGTTCTTTTTTTGTCTTTGTCTTTTTCTTGCTTTTTATTTTGATTTTCTTTCGTTTTCGTTGGTTGAGGATGACTTGTTTTGGTGAAAAAACAGAAGTGACATCGATGTCCATTTTTGGATTGTAACGGGTCTATAACAAGGCAATTCACAAAGCATTATAATCAATGCGTTGCCTTTTTTGGTAATCCTATTTTCATTAATTAATATTAATTAATGTTAGGTAGTGGAGCCTAATTAATATATATAACTATTTACGCGGTTTAAGCTCTGCGGTGAGGTTGCCAGGGCCCGCCCCCCATCTGAAAGAGGGGTTCGGGGCAGCGCCTCAACCTAAATTTTAGGCTTTCCTATTTATTCTCTATTTATTCTCTGTAACCAAAAATACTCTGATTTATTAATATAAATGTACCTCACCGCCGTGGAAGTTTACTCACGGGGTGTTACCACGAAATATTGAGTTTTCTCTTTCTCTCTAGATCTCTCATCTCTTTTCTCTTGAAAGTTCTTGTGTTCTTCATTCATCTAGTGTGTGTGCGTGAATTCGATCCTAACAACTGGTATCAGAGCTAAGGATATTCAACACGATCACTGAAGATGGATAGTTTGAAAAGCTTGGAATCGAGAAGTTTGATGGATCCGATTTCAGTTTCTGGAAGACGTAGATCGAAGATTATTTTTACCAGAAAGATCTTCACAAACCATTGACCGGGGTGAAGTCGGAATCCATGACAGAGGAGAAGTGGAAAATCAA